AAATTTTTGGAAAAAAAAAAAAAAGGAGTTTTTTGGTGAAAGGAGTTTTTTTTTTTTCTTTTTTTTTTGGGGGGGGGGGAGGGAGAGGGAAACTTGAACCCGTGACCTCAAGTAGGCAAAGCCTTTACACAGCAAAGAGTACCATTGGACCATAAGAAAACTCCTCAGTAATTGGTTTAAGGGGAGCAAGTTGAAGAACACTTGCAGTACCATTACGGTGTTCTGTAGCAGTGTCTCTTCTGTCAAAGGAACTCTCCAAGAAGGTGCAGGCCACCATAAAGACCCCTCTGTTCTTACCGGAGTACTCAACCCGAGTAGAACAAAAATAGAATTGATTTGCTAAGAGCGCTTATCTCTTTCCTGCAACATTTTGGAATTAACACAAAATCTAACCACCAACTAAGCTCCAGTTAGGGGGACATCCCCCCCCCCCCCCTTTTGTTCTCCATGTTGTCTCAAGTATAACCTCCAACTCACCCCTTGGGTTCATCACGTAGGACCCGCGAGCTAGGGTGTGGCCTCATTGTGGGTATTACATCAACAGGCATCGTTAGTAGTTCCAGCCAGGAAGATGGATTTGATCCTTCAAATGCTATGTCAAGTCCAGTGAAGCAATTTGATTTGCAACTGGCCTTCAAATTCCCAATAGGATCACAAAGTAAGTTTTATCGTTTCAAATTTTTAAGATCGATAACTAAGGCACATGTTTTAATAATATTGCCAATTGTCAGGAGTTACACAACAATTGAAATTTTTTATAGCTAAAAACATTATGAATGACTGTTCAATCTACTATTCATGTTGTATAGGGCATTTGACAAATTGAATGTGCCATGGTCCATGAGTGACCATTCAAATGAGGTAGTTTTCTAAACATTCATAAACAAGCCACAACAGCAGCATGCTGATCTTCAAAAATATGAAGCTGGATGGGTACAGAGTAAATGTTTTAAGATTTACCTGCTTACGGGCCCGAGACCTTGCAGCTGACTCTCTGTTCTTTATCATTCTCCTCTGCCTTCTCTCAACGACTTTCTCCACAGTGCCAGACTTCCTTCCCCTTAAACCTCCATTAAACATGTATGGAACTGGTGACACAGAAGATGTATCTCCATTACTCTTCCCTAACCCATCTGATGAAACTGCTGGAGATCCTGTAGCAATGGTAACACCCCCAGCTCCTAAACCAACCATTCCCATCCCACCAGCCTGTAGTGCAGCACCATGAACCAAATTACCATTTGACGCTGGATCCGCCATCCCAATAATCCCACCCCTAATTCCTGGACTACCCAACTGATTGCTGCCTGTTATAGGCAAGGGACCACCATAAGTCATATTAGGTTGCTTGGGAAAAAGTGGCTGCTGTTGCTGCTGGTGTTGTTTCTGCTGCTGCTGTGGTGTTAGCAGCTGTTGCTGTGTTGACCTAACCCCATTTGCATTCAATGGTAAATTAGCAGCAGACTGAACTGCAAATTGATTATTCTCAGACACTCTATTACCCATCAACCCTGTATTCCTACCCGCCTGTTGAAACTCAAATCCTAAACCAGAAGGATTGTTTGCCGAACTCAACAAATCACCAAACAATCCATTGGTATTAGGTTTTCCAGCTAATTGAGCGTCTTCCCTTACAACCCCGGCTCTTACCAAGAAATCCTCAAGTGTCATCTCCCCCAAAGTTTGCTGCCTCTGTGGCAAATTAGACCCCCCAACACCACTTACATCCTTACCACCAGCATACTCTTGAGATATATCCCTCCAAACCTCATCAACGGTCTTCTGACTCAATGTCCTTGGCAACGTTAATGATCCTTGCCTCTGCAAATAGCCACCCGAGACACCCACCACTTCTAGTCCACCAATGCTAGATCCCGCGGTCTGAGTCTCCTCAGCACTCCATATATTCTTCAACAATTCATCCATGTTCATAGATCCAAAATCTTTAGACATCCCTCGCATGGTGCTCTGAAGCTCATCTAAAGTCAGTGAATAGATGGACGTCTGTCGTGCCAAAGGATAATTCCCTGGCTGCCTTCCACATCCGCCATCTCCCGGCGGCTCATTTCCAAAGTTCTTGAAGTTCATATTAGTACCCAATTTGTAGAATCTAAATGAAACAGTTTCCAAAAAGCTAATCCAAGCTCAGTGTCTGATACATCATCAAACTTAAAGTCAGATCAATCGGAATATCTGATTTATCACTCTCACCCTCTGCGCCGCGCGAGCGCACACACACACACAGTGCTTCAGATTCCTAATTTAACTACAGAGAAAGCGATGGGAAATCAGATTGAAACAAAGCCTTCACCAATTCTGAACTAAAATACTCAAATTTCACAGACAACTCAGCTAAAAAATTTACCATTGTCATCAAATTCGCCACATACAACTAGAATTTCACAAGACAAACACCATATGAAGATACACGAGCTTACACAGTCACACACATATGTATAAGTCTATAAAAGCAGTCAAAAACCTTAACCCTAATAGTACATATCAGCCACGCAGAGTCAGAAACTATCAGAAAACTTTTAAATCACAGAAAAAACAAAATTTATAGATAAAACCACTACAAACTACAAGGTCAAAGCATTTTCAAAAACTCAAAAAGGTAATATATCAGATCAGCACTTATAGAAAGTAAAGACCAAATCTATCAAGAACCTAAGCAAACCAATTATGGACTAACTCTATCCAAAATCATTAATTTAACGAGGCATTGATGTGCAGATATAACCAAGGAAAAGTAGGAAGGCGTAGAGAGAGAGAGAGAGAAAAACGCTATTTCACCTGATATTCTCTCTCTCTGTCGCTCTGCTAGACGTCTCTTGGCTGCTGCGACTGCGTTGCTTGTTTTGGGCGACAGGTGTCTAGTGTCTGAATCGCTCTATAATTGGAAGGTAGAGAGGTAGGAGAGAAGTACTCAGTGATGTGGGCCCATTGCCGTGAACGTGGACCAATCAAAATGGGTTAGAAGAGTTGATGGGACAGTTGGCCAATGAAAATGGGATATGTGGGAGAATCTTAGCCTTCCACGTATGTGGTTGTTTGTCGGGTAGTGATATTGGATAGTGACGCAATATAAAGTACGCCTGGAGTGTAGTACCCACCCAAGCCTGTGTTTTTTTCAACGACCAAGTCGAATTTCGATTAATCTTCTGTTTAGCACCCACGCTGAGATTAGGAATAAATTTCACATAGATAGTGTTTAGATTAATTTATAGGATATTGCCACGTATTTTAAATTTGTAACACAAATTTGTATTCCAAATCAAGAGGATCAGTGGGTCTCATTAATTTTTTAAAATGGAACTCACTAATGGCCCTCTTTAATTTGGGATGTAAATTTGGGATACATATCATTACTCTAATTTATATATACCTCAATTAATTTTTTTTTCGATCTAGTTAAAAACAAATTATTTATATCAAGACTAAAAATAAATCTCTCATAATCTAAATTTAAAAAATTATCAAAATTTAAATTCATGATCTCTGTATTTACTAACTTTTATCTCATTGCCACTTGAAAGGCCAAGACTAGTGCTTGTTTTTAAAAATAATTGCCAATACATTTTATAAAATATTTTGACCCTTAACGGTAGTGGTTTGGACAGGAGTTGGCNAGTGACGCAATATAAAGTACGCCTGGAGTGTAGTACCCACCCAAGCCTGTGTTTTTTCAAGCATTTGTTTTTTTCAACGACCAAGTCGAATTTCGATTAATCTTCTGTTTAGCACCCACGTTGAAATTAGGAATAAATTTCACATAGATAGTGTTTAGATTAATTTATAGGGTATTGCTATGTATTTTAAATTTGTAACACAAATTTGTATTCCAAATCAAGGGGATCATAGAATAAGTGGGTCTCATTAATTTTTTAAAATGGAACCCACTGTTCTAATGTTCCTCTTTAATTTGAGATGTAAATTTGAGTTACAAATTTGGGATACATGTCATTACTCTAATTTATATATACCTCAATTAATTTTTTTTTCGATCTAGTTAAAAACAAGTTATTTATATCAAGACTAAAGATAAATCTTTCATAGTTTAAATTTAAAAAATTATCAAAATTTAAATTCATGATATCTGTATTTACAATTTTTATCTCATTGCCACTTGAAAGGCCAAGACTAGTGCTTGTTTTTAAAAATAATTGCCAATACATTTTGTAAAATATTTTGACCCTTAACGGTAGTGGTTTGGACAGGGGTTGGTTTGTTAACCGATTAGATTTGGATCGAATTTTAGATTGATATGAGTTCGAATTCAATTTTTAAAAGTTCAATTTGAATTTAATCTAATTATTTGAAGAATTTTATTTTCATGATTGAATTCATTGACAATATGAAATTTAATACAAAAATTTTATCTGATTCGAATAACTTAATTTAATTAAAATTTAACAAATTATATCTACATTTTTTAAAATAATCACTTAATTTTTTTAATATATATATAAATATAGAAATACATGCATATTTCAGATCGGATATAAATATATTCTAATATGAATTCGTGAAATATAAAATAACGAATTTAAATTCAAATTAAGATTATCAGTAAAAAATTTCAATCAATATCCGATTAATCAAATTATAATTTGAATTGAAGTCAGATAAAANTTGTTAACCGATTAGATTTGGATCGAATTTTAGATTGATATGAGTTCGAATTCAATTTTTAAAAGTTCAATTTGAATTTAATCTAATTATTTGAAGAATTTTATTTTCATGATTGAATTCATTGACAATATGAAATTTAATACAAAAATTTTATCTGATTCGAATAACTTAATTTAATTAAAATTTAACAAATTATATATACATTTTTTAAAATAATCACTTAATTTTTTTAATATATATATATAAATATAGAAATACATGCATATTTCAGATCGGATATAAATATATTCTAATATGAATTCCTGAAATATAAAATAACGAATTAAGATTATCAGTAAAAAATTTCAATCAATATCCGATTAATCAAATTATAATTTGAATTGAAGTCAGATCAAAAATTTGATCAATTGACAGGCCTAAGTATGTTGTGAATTCAGCTGGAGCCGTGGGAAGCCACCAATTAACTAAGGTTTATATTTTTATTTTTACCTGTCTAATTGTTGGTGTCTTATTAGTGGAGAATAATCCAAATCCTCTTAATTTCAATTCACACCGTTAAAGCCGCATCCTAACATGTCTGGGTGAAGCTCAACATTCAGAAGAGATCCGCATTGTAATCCAGACCCAATAAGTATAATAGTTACATGTGATCCAATATTAAATGTTTTCAAGTGTAAGATGATTCAAACATTTTTGATCGTTAAAAAAAAAATGTTTTCAAGTGTGAATGTTATGTTTGGAGTATTTCAGTCTTTTTGTTTTCTAGTGTTCTTTTGGTCAAAAATTTTTTAGATTTAGACTTTAAACTTAATAAATTATAAAAAATGTATCGACTTTAAAAAAACACTCATAATTAAATGTGAGTAGGAATAAGGATCCATAAAATTCTATCGCTCCNCCCCCCCCCTCTTGTTCTCCATGTTCTCTCAAGTATAACCTCCAACTCACCCCTTGGGTTCATCACGTAGGACCCACGAGCTAGGGTGTGGCCTCATTGTGGGTATTACATCAACAGGCATCGTTAGTAGTTCCAGCCAGGAAGATGGATTTGATCCTTCAAATGCTATGTCAAGTCCAGTGAAGCAATTTGATTTGCAACTGGCCTTCAAATTCCCAATAGGATCACAAAGTAAGTTTTATCGTTTCAAATTTTTAAGATCGATAACTAAGGCACATGTTTTAATAATATTGCCAATTGTCAGGAGTTACACAACAATTGAAATTTTTTATAGCTAAAAACATTATGAATGACTGTTCAATCTACTATTCATGTTGTATAGGGCATTTGACAAATTGAATGTGCCATGGTCCATGAGTGACCATTCAAATGAGGTAGTTTTCTAAACATTCATAAACAAGCCACAACAGCAGCATGCTGATCTTCAAAAATATGAAGCTGGATGGGTACAGAGTAAATGTTTTAAGATTTACCTGCTTACGGGCCCGAGACCTTGCAGCTGACTCTCTGTTCTTTATCATTCTCCTCTGCCTTCTCTCAACGACTTTCTCCACAGTGCCAGACTTCCTTCCCCTTAAACCTCCATTAAACATGTATGGAACTGGTGACACAGAAGATGTATCTCCATTACTCTTCCCTAACCCATCTGATGAAACTGCTGGAGATCCTGTAGCAATGGTAACACCCCCAGCTCCTAAACCAACCATTCCCATCCCACCAGCCTGTAGTGCAGCACCATGAACCAAATTACCATTTGACGCTGGATCCGCCATCCCAATAATCCCACCCCTAATTCCTGGACTACCCAACTGATTGCTGCCTGTTATAGGCAAGGGACCACCATAAGTCATATTAGGTTGCTTGGGAAAAAGTGGCTGCTGTTGCTGCTGGTGTTGTTTCTGCTGCTGCTGTGGTGTTAGCAGCTGTTGCTGTGTTGACCTAACCCCATTTGCATTCAATGGTAAATTAGCAGCAGACTGAACTGCAAATTGATTATTCTCAGACACTCTATTACCCATCAACCCTGTATTCCTACCCGCCTGTTGAAACTCAAATCCTAAACCAGAAGGATTGTTTGCCGAACTCAACAAATCACCAAACAATCCATTGGTATTAGGTTTTCCAGCTAATTGAGCGTCTTCCCTTACAACCCCGGCTCTTACCAAGAAATCCTCAAGTGTCATCTCCCCCAAAGTTTGCTGCCTCTGTGGCAAATTAGACCCCCCAACACCACTTACATCCTTACCACCAGCATACTCTTGAGATATATCCCTCCAAACCTCATCAACGGTCTTCTGACTCAATGTCCTTGGCAACGTTAATGATCCTTGCCTCTGCAAATAGCCACCCGAGACACCCACCACTTCTAGTCCACCAATGCTAGATCCCGCGGTCTGAGTCTCCTCAGCACTCCATATATTCTTCAACAATTCATCCATGTTCATAGATCCAAAATCTTTAGACATCCCTCGCATGGTGCTCTGAAGCTCATCTAAAGTCAGTGAATAGATGGACGTCTGTCGTGCCAAAGGATAATTCCCTGGCTGCCTTCCACATCCGCCATCTCCCGGCGGCTCATTTCCAAAGTTCTTGAAGTTCATATTAGTACCCAATTTGTAGAATCTAAATGAAACAGTTTCCAAAAAGCTAATCCAAGCTCAGTGTCTGATACATCATCAAACTTAAAGTCAGATCAATCGGAATATCTGATTTATCACTCTCACCCTCTGCGCCGCGCGAGCGCACACACACACACAGTGCTTCAGATTCCTAATTTAACTACAGAGAAAGCGATGGGAAATCAGATTGAAACAAAGCCTTCACCAATTCTGAACTAAAATACTCAAATTTCACAGACAACTCAGCTAAAAAATTTACCATTGTCATCAAATTCGCCACATACAACTAGAATTTCACAAGACAAACACCATATGAAGATACACGAGCTTACACAGTCACACACATATGTATAAGTCTATAAAAGCAGTCAAAAACCTTAACCCTAATAGTACATATCAGCCACGCAGAGTCAGAAACTATCAGAAAACTTTTAAATCACAGAAAAAACAAAATTTATAGATAAAACCACTACAAACTACAAGGTCAAAGCATTTTCAAAAACTCAAAAAGGTAATATATCAGATCAGCACTTATAGAAAGTAAAGACCAAATCTATCAAGAACCTAAGCAAACCAATTATGGACTAACTCTATCCAAAATCATTAATTTAACGAGGCATTGATGTGCAGATATAACCAAGGAAAAGTAGGAAGGCGTAGAGAGAGAGAGAGAGAAAAACGCTATTTCACCTGATATTCTCTCTCTCTGTCGCTCTGCTAGACGTCTCTTGGCTGCTGCGACTGCGTTGCTTGTTTTGGGCGACAGGTGTCTAGTGTCTGAATCGCTCTATAATTGGAAGGTAGAGAGGTAGGAGAGAAGTACTCAGTGATGTGGGCCCATTGCCGTGAACGTGGACCAATCAAAATGGGTTAGAAGAGTTGATGGGACAGTTGGCCAATGAAAATGGGATATGTGGGAGAATCTTAGCCTTCCACGTATGTGGTTGTTTGTCGGGTAGTGATATTGGATAGTGACGCAATATAAAGTACGCCTGGAGTGTAGTACCCACCCAAGCCTGTGTTTTTTCAAGCATTTGTTTTTTTCAACGACCAAGTCGAATTTCGATTAATCTTCTGTTTAGCACCCACGTTGAAATTAGGAATAAATTTCACATAGATAGTGTTTAGATTAATTTATAGGGTATTGCTATGTATTTTAAATTTGTAACACAAATTTGTATTCCAAATCAAGGGGATCATAGAATAAGTGGGTCTCATTAATTTTTTAAAATGGAACCCACTGTTCTAATGTTCCTCTTTAATTTGAGATGTAAATTTGAGTTACAAATTTGGGATACATGTCATTACTCTAATTTATATATACCTCAATTAATTTTTTTTTCGATCTAGTTAAAAACAAGTTATTTATATCAAGACTAAAGATAAATCTTTCATAGTTTAAATTTAAAAAATTATCAAAATTTAAATTCATGATATCTGTATTTACAATTTTTATCTCATTGCCACTTGAAAGGCCAAGACTAGTGCTTGTTTTTAAAAATAATTGCCAATACATTTTATAAAATATTTTGACCCTTAACGGTAGTGGTTTGGACAGGAGTTGGCTTGTTAACCGATTAGATTTGGATCGAATTTTAGATTGATATGAGTTCGAATTCAATTTTTAAAAGTTCAATTTGAATTTAATCTAATTATTTGAAGAATTTTATTTTCATGATTGAATTCATTGACAATATGAAATTTAATACAAAAATTTTATCTGATTCGAATAACTTAATTTAATTAAAATTTAACAAATTATATCTACATTTTTTAAAATAATCACTTAATTTTTTTAATATATATATAAATATAGAAATACATGCATATTTCAGATCGGATATAAATATATTCTAATATGAATTCGTGAAATATAAAATAACGAATTTAAATTCAAATTAAGATTATCAGTAAAAAATTTCAATCAATATCCGATTAATCAAATTATAATTTGAATTGAAGTCAGATAAAAAATTTGATCAATTGACAGGCCTAAGTATGTTGTGAATTCAGCTGGAGCCGTGGGAAGCCACCAATTAACTAAGGTTTATATTTTTATTTTTACCTGTCTAATTGTTGGTGTCTTATTAGTGGAGAATAATCCAAATCCTCTTAATTTCAATTCACACCGTTAAAGCCGCATCCTAACATGTCTGGGTGAAGCTCAACATTCAGAAGAGATCCGCATTGTAATCCAGACCCAATAAGTATAATACTTACATGTGATCCAATATTAAATGTTTTCAAGTGTAAGATGATTCAAACATTTCTGATCGTTAAAAAAAATATGTTTTCAAGCGTGAATATTATGTTTGGAGTATTTCAGTCTTTTTGTTTTCAAGTGTTCTTTTGGTCAAAATTTTTTTAGATTTAGACTTTAAACTTAATAAATTATAAAAAATGTATCAACTTTAAAAAAACACTCATAATTAAATGTGAGTAGGAATAAGGATCCATAAAATTCTATCGCTCTATGAACGAAGTATGCAACAAATATTTATTTATAGTTTATAATTTACACCCTTAAAGTTCGAATATTTTCAATTAACTCCTATTGTTAGTTGCCCAACATTAAAATTGACGGAAATTTGTCTTGGAAATCTCACATGATCTAAAATTCAATTAATTCCATCTTGTTTGTTGGATTTGATGGAGGGGAGGGGTTGGGGAGGCCCGGCGGAGGTAGGTATGGGGTTCGGTGTTTTGCTGGGTTTGGTTTGGGTGGGGTTGGGGGGATCTAGGGAAGGGCAACCATGGCTATGGAGGGCAAATTCATAGTTTTCAATTGGTTAGGTACATGGAGAAAAAAGAAAAGAACATCGCAGATTGATTTTAAGAATTTTTAATTTTTCATCCACTTAATCAATTAATTTAATTTTGTAAAATTTTTAAGAAGACAAATTGTTGAAATTGAAACCTAGAGGAGTTGATTGTAACAATACCCCAACTTGTAGAGGCATTTTGTAATTAACCTTACTTACTATACAAACAGAAACGTATAAGAGCTAAGTGCTTTCTTTCCTTGACAAGTTTCACTTAACCTGACTTTACATTGTGCTCTCCTTGCCATTGAAGTTTCCNAAGAATTTTTAATTTTTCATCCACTTAATCAATTAATTTAATTTTGTAAAATTTTTACGAAGACAAATTGTTGAAATTGAAACCTAGAGGAGTTGATTGTAACAATACCCCGACTTGTAGAGGCATTTTGTAATTAACCTTACTTACTATACAAACAGAAACGTATAAGAGCTAAGTGCTTTCTTTCCTTGATAAGTTTCACTTAACCTGACTTTACATTGTGCTCTCCTTGCCATTGAAGTTTCGNTGGTGTTAGCAGCTGTTGCTGTGTTGACCTAACCCCATTTGCATTCAATGGTAAATTAGCAGCAGACTGAACTGCAAATTGATTATTCTCAGACACTCTATTACCCATCAACCCTGTATTCCTACCCGNTGGTGTTAGCAGCTGTTGCTGTGTTGACCTAACCCCATTTGCATTCAATGGTAAATTGGCAGCAGACTGAACTGCAAATTGATTATTCTCAGACACTCTATTACCCATCAACCCTGTATTCCTACCCANTGGTATTGATTTACTTGCAAGTCGTTAGCATATATGAATTCATGATGTATATATGGAGCCAATTTGAGTTTATTTTGGTACTCTCTTAAAATTTCACCTCAAATTTGAGCAATATCAACTACTCGGGTTAGATTACGCCAGTTGACATATCAAAATATGTAATGTCGAGTTTGGATTAAAAAACTATTTTTGTTATACAATTGTTTTNCGCCTGTTGAAACTCAAATCCTAAACCAGAAGGATTGTTTGCCGAACTCAACAAATCACCAAACAATCCATTGGTATTAGGTTTTCCAGCTAATTGAGCGTCTTCCCTTACAACCCCGGCTCTTACCAAGAAATCCTCAAGTGTCATCTCCCCCAAAGTTTGCTGCCTCTGTGGCAAATTAGACCCCCCAACACCACTTACATCCTTACCACCAGCATACTCTTGAGATATATCCCTCCAAACCTCATCAACGGTCTTCTGACTCAATGTCCTTGGCAACGTTAATGATCCTTGCCTCTGCAAATAGCCACCCGAGACACCCACCACTTCTAGTCCACCAATGCTAGATCCCGCGGTCTGAGTCTCCTCAGCACTCCATATATTCTTCAACAATTCATCCATGTTCATAGATCCAAAATCTTTAGACATCCCTCGCATGGTGCTCTGAAGCTCATCTAAAGTCAGTGAATAGATGGACGTCTGTCGTGCCAAAGGATAATTCCCTGGCTGCCTTCCACATCCGCCATCTCCCGGCGGCTCATTTCCAAAGTTCTTGAAGTTCATATTAGTACCCAATTTGTAGAATCTAAATGAAACAGTTTCCAAAAAGCTAATCCAAGCTCAGTGTCTGATACATCATCAAACTTAAAGTCAGATCAATCGGAATATCTGATTTATCACTCTCACCCTCTGCGCCGCGCGAGCGCACACACACACACAGTGCTTCAGATTCCTAATTTAACTACAGAGAAAGCGATGGGAAATCAGATTGAAACAAAGCCTTCACCAATTCTGAACTAAAATACTCAAATTTCACAGACAACTCAGCTAAAAAATTTACCATTGTCATCAAATTCGCCACATACAACTAGAATTTCACAAGACAAACACCATATGAAGATACACGAGCTTACACAGTCACACACATATGTATAAGTCTATAAAAGCAGTCAAAAACCTTAACCCTAATAGTACATATCAGCCACGCAGAGGCAGAAACTATCAGAAAACTTCTAAATCACAGAAAAAACAAAATTTATAGATAAAACCACTACAAACTACAAGGTCAAAGCATTTTCAAAAACTCAAAAAGGTAATATATCAGATCAGCACTTATAGAAAGTAAAGACCAAATCTATCAAGAACCTAAGCAAACCAATTATGGACTAACTCTATCCAAAATCATTAATTTAACGAGGCATTGATGTGCAGATATAACCAAGGAAAAGTAGGAAGGCGTAGAGAGAGAGAGAGAGAAAAACGCTATTTCACCTGATATTCTCTCTCTCTGTCGCTCTGCTAGACGTCTCTTGGCTGCTGCGACTGCGTTGCTTGTTTTGGGCGACAGGTGTCTAGTGTCTGAATCGCTCTATAATTGGAAGGTAGAGAGGTAGGAGAGAAGTACTCAGTGATGTGGGCCCATTGCCGTGAACGTGGACCAATCAAAATGGGTTAGAAGAGTTGATGGGACAGTTGGCCAATGAAAATGGGATATGTGGGAGAATCTTAGCCTTCCACGTATGTGGTTGTTTGTCGGGTAGTGATATTGGATAGTGACGCAATATAAAGTACGCCTGGAGTGTAGTACCCACCCAAGCCTGTGTTTTTTCAAGCATTTGTTTTTTTCAACGACCAAGTCGAATTTCGATTAATCTTCTGTTTAGCACCCACGTTGAAATTAGGAATAAATTTCACATAGATAGTGTTTAGATTAATTTATAGGGTATTGCTATGTATTTTAAATTTGTAACACAAATTTGTATTCCAAATCAAGGGGATCATAGAATAAGTGGGTCTCATTAATTTTTTAAAATGGAACCCACTGTTCTAATGTTCCTCTTTAATTTGAGATGTAAATTTGAGTTACAAATTTGGGATACATGTCATTACTCTAATTTATATATACCTCAATTAATTTTTTTTTCGATCTAGTTAAAAACAAGTTATTTATATCAAGACTAAAGATAAATCTTTCATAGTTTAAATTTAAAAAATTATCAAAATTTAAATTCATGATATCTGTATTTACAATTTTTATCTCATTGCCACTTGAAAGGCCAAGACTAGTGCTTGTTTTTAAAAATAATTGCCAATACATTTTATAAAATATTTTGACCCTTAACGGTAGTGGTTTGGACAGGAGTTGGCTTGTTAACCGATTAGATTTGGATCGAATTTTAGATTGATATGAGTTCGAATTCAATTTTTAAAAGTTCAATTTGAATTTAATCTAATTATTTGAAGAATTTTATTTTCATGATTGAATTCATTGACAATATGAAATTTAATACAAAAATTTTATCTGATTCGAATAACTTAATTTAATTAAAATTTAACAAATTATATCTACATTTTTTAAAATAATCACTTAATTTTTTTAATATATATATAAATATAGAAATACATGCATATTTCAGATCGGATATAAATATATTCTAATATGAATTCGTGAAATATAAAATAACGAATTTAAATTCAAATTAAGATTATCAGTAAAAAATTTCAATCAATATCCGATTAATCAAATTATAATTTGAATTGAAGTCAGATAAAAAATTTGATCAATTGACAGGCCTAAGTATGTTGTGAATTCAGCTGGAGCCGTGGGAAGCCACCAATTAACTAAGGTTTATATTTTTATTTTTACCTGTCTAATTGTTGGTGTCTTATTAGTGGAGAATAATCCAAATCCTCTTAATTTCAATTCACACCGTTAAAGCCGCATCCTAACATGTCTGGGTGAAGCTCAACATTCAGAAGAGATCCGCATTGTAATCCAGACCCAATAAGTATAATACTTACATGTGATCCAATATTAAATGTTTTCAAGTGTAAGATGATTCAAACATTTCTGATCGTTAAAAAAAATATGTTTTCAAGCGTGAATATTATGTTTGGAGTATTTCAGTCTTTTTGTTTTCAAGTGTTCTTTTGGTCAAAATTTTTTTAGATTTAGACTTTAAACTTAATAAATTATAAAAAATGTATCAACTTTAAAAAAACACTCATAATTAAATGTGAGTAGGAATAAGGATCCATAAAATTCTATCGCTCTATGAACGAAGTATGCAACAAATATTTATTTATAGTTTATAATTTACACCCTTAAAGTTCGAATATTTTCAATTAACTCCTATTGTTAGTTGCCCAACATTAAAATTGACGGAAATTTGTCTTGGAAATCTCACATGATCTAAAATTCAATTAATTCCATCTTGTTTGTTGGATTTGATGGAGGGGAGGGGTTGGGGAGGCCCGGCGGAGGTAGGTATGGGGTTCGGTGTTTTGCTGGGTTTGGTTTGGGTGGGGTTGGGGGGATCTAGGGAAGGGCAACCATGGCTATGGAGGGCAAATTCATAGTTTTCAATTGGTTAGGTACATGGAGAAAAAAGAAAAGAACATCGCAGATTGATTTTAAGAATTTTTAATTTTTCATCCACTTAATCAATTAATTTAATTTTGTAAAATTTTTACGAAGACAAATTGTTGAAATTGAAACCTAGAGGAGTTGATTGTAACAATACCCCGACTTGTAGAGGCATTTTGTAATTAACCTTACTTACTATACAAACAGAAACGTATAAGAGCTAAGTGCTTTCTTTCCTTGACAAGTTTCACTTAACCTGACTTTACATTGTGCTCTCCTTGCCATTGAAGTTTCGTTTTTCTCTTTCTTGTAGACCACCGAGAGTCTCGGCCTCGAGTAAACATCGGGTACATCATGTTAGCATTACTGCATGGTATAATTACGTTCTCTAATTTACGACTTATTTCTTAACCTTTCTAAACTTGTAGTTGATGAATAAAGCATAATTCGAATCCGACTCTATTAACTTTCCAACTATCATGCAAGCTTAAATTTGGTATTGATTTACTTGCAAGTCGTTAGCATATATGAATTCATGATGTATATATGGAACCAATTTGAGTTTATTTTGGTACTCTCTTAAAATTTCACCTCAAATTTGACCAAATATCAACTACTCGGGTTAGATTACGCCAGTTAACATATCAAAATATGTAATGTCGAGTTTGGATTAAAAAACTATTTTTGTTATACAATTGTTTAATTTGTAGAAACTACCAAGAATTAGCCATGGAATTTCCGAAAATTTTTCATAGGAAAAAATAAGGGTGAATTTCACTTTGCACCTAAAAGATTTTAAAAAATTTAGTTTGTATCTTTAAAGATTAATTTTTTTACATTATATCTTGAATGTATTAAAAATATTACAATGTGATATTTTTGTTACTCATTTTATCAACCATTTTTTTCTTGAACTGTATTCCATCAACATCAAGGTGGTGGTTTTTGACGGAATAAGTAAAGAAAGTTAACACAAAGGTCTATTGTAATATTTTTAATACATTGAGGGCTCGTTTGGTAGACGTATTATGATGAGATTAAATATTTGATTGTATTATTTTTTATTTAATCGGACCTAATACTTTGTTTTGTAAGTAAATTTGACATCGTATTAATTTTGAAAATGTATACTTATCGTATCTTTATTGTATATTTTTTATACGTTAGACCTGTATTATGAAAATATTTTAATACCACAAAAAGAGGTGATATTATAATTCAACTCAAACGTATTATTTTGCACATTTACCATTATAACCCTATAACTGATAAAATCAAACTGTCATCAATGTAACAAACACTGATTTAGGATATTTTTGTTAATTCAACATTAATAAGATAAAATAATTTCTTAATCAAATAACCGATTGGATTAAATAATTATTATTCAACGTTTATGTTGTGTATTACCAAACACTAGATAAAATTATGTATTATTCTAATATCATATTTAGTCTTGTCTTTTGTCCTTCTGTATTGTATTAGATCGAATTATTTTATCTAATTCATCTATTTCTAATACGGCAACCAAACGAGCCCAGAAGATATAAAGTTAAGAAGTCTAATCTTTAAAAATGCAAAGTGAAAAATCTTGAATCTTTCTACAAAAAATAATATAAGATCCTAATAGTCTTGTGATCATAATTATCGGAGCATAATCATACGTTAGGGTTACCCGCATAAGAAAAGATCCATTGACTTTCATCTCTTAAAGGATAAGAAAGAATAGGACTTTTTGTTTCTTAACTCATCCAACTCAAACTCAATCAGCCACTTAATTGGATGAGTTATCTTTCCTATCCAATTCAAACCATTGTTTGACAAGGGACAAATCAATTTCGTTGGCCCACATACTTTGACCTTTGACCTTTGGTTTTGTAGAAGTTTACCATTCTAACCATTCACCAACGTTAATTTCAAAGAAATGAGAAACAGAACAAAACAAATCTGTCTTGACCATAACCAGACGAATAGAGATAGAGAGAGAGAGAGAGAGAGAGAGAGAGAGAGAGAGAGAGAGAGATCTACAGAGTGGCTGTGAGAGAGCGAAAGACAGATCTGGACTCTGTCATCTTCTTCGTGGTGGGTTAGAAATTCTGATTAATAACCAAATCCTCCTCTCTGCTTTCGTTTATGACCTAGTAAGAAATTCCACAAAAAAATGTTTATTGATGGGTTATGGCTTCTGGTTCAACAG